CACGTAAACTGCTTAGAGAGGACTGTAAAACACTATAAAGGTAACGATTCCCCTCATACATATGTGCTAGTCGTTCCCGACTCTAGGGGGCGGTCCTCATCTCTGTTTCAAAGCCAAAGAGCCAGCGCTGTCTCCGTGGTCATGTGGCCAGCATGACTAAACGCCAAAGGCGCACGGAATGCTGTTACCTTCCCACCAAAAGTGGTTCCTAATTTTCTACTTGCATTGTTTACGTGCTTTCGAACTGCTAGGTTGACAGAAGCTGGGACAAGTAACGGGAGCTCACTCGGTTACATGGCACTAGGGAGCCATCACGTCCCTAGTAAAGCAGTGTAGAGTATAAGTTTAGGTGCCATTGTTATTGCTATTTACCAGCACACCTCTGGTAAATAGACATGCACTCCAGATTGGAAGAACTAAAGGTAAGTAAACTGGTTGGCTATTTCTCCCCACTATGCATGGTGTGTGTGTGTGTTCTAATGAATGAAGTCATTTGTTGTTCCTTTGAACCACCCATCCTTTCTATCATCTATTGTTATCCAAAAAGAGGTTTTACTTGCCAAGCGCTGGATTAGTATTGTGCGGTGCATTATTGTACTGAGCTTCCTCCAGCTTCTCTTACCGTACAGTTTCCGTATAGCCCCATTTGAGCTGAAACATGTTGGTAGGCGAAAGCAGAGGGATCTATTTCCTGGGCATCCCTTGGGCAGGCCGCCAGGCCAGGTCATGGGCTGAAACCTCTCTTATTTCCCCCCTCTCTAGAGCAAGTAGAAAGAAACCTGTGCGGAAGGCAGTTATCAGGAACGCTGTCTACCGGCCACTGGACTGGATGAATCGGCATCTGAAGGACAACAGATTCTGGTTTGCCTGACAACTGGAGCTCATGTGTTCAGTGTCCTTTGATTATGTCAATCCTTTGTGTGGGAAACCCTCTAATGCTCAGTACTGCAACCCAGGCTGACTTTTATAGCCACAGAGGAAATTGTATCAAATTTGCTCTCTTCAGAAAATTATTTCTCTCCGTTTGCCTTCGCTCACTGCTTGAAACACAGCTGGACTGCGTAGTGACCATCGCTCCAAGGGCTGGAAGTTAACCCCCCAAAAGGTGTTGCTATGGGATGATTCTTCATTTAGGATAGCAACAGAGACTCTTTCACTTTCGAAGTTGTAATCTAAGAACAGCCTTGACTTTGGTCTTCAGCGCACGGTTCTCAGTGCGTCATAACCCTGAACGCTCCCGTACGTACACCTGTGGCCTAAAGCGATGGAAACCATGCCTTGAGAGTAGCTGCAACGAACGCATAGCCATGACGGAACCCCACCGGGTCCAACTCACCTCTTTATCAGGCCCACTGGGTACCCCTTTGCTGAAAAAACCTCGGTGGGAGGATGTCGCCAATCCAGAGCAGCCTCCAGAGTCTGAGCCAGCAGCTGCAGCCGTACGCATCGCCCTCTCCCTTTTCGAGCCAGATCACAAGCGCTGCCCGGAATTCTTTTACCCAGAACTGCTAAAGATGACACGAGGCAAAGCGAAAAGCAGTTCTGTGGGAGAAAAGGTAAGCCGGCCTTTTTCTTCTTTTTTTAATTTTTAAATTTGTAATGTGCATCTAAATAGACAGTGACAATCACTACAGTCATAAGTGTGCACCCTGCCAAACGCCCAGAAACGCCGGGTGGCTGACAGCCATGAAATGGCAGTAAAAGATGGCCAGCCCAACGAGATCATTGGTCATTTGGGACTGTGGTAAGAGTAGGGGCGCGGTGACTCAGTGGCTAAGATGCTGAGCTTGTCAATCAGAAAGGTGGGCAGTTCGGCAGTTCAAATCCCTAGCACTGCGTAACGAAGTGAGCTCCCATTACTTGTCCCAGCTTCTGCCAACCTAGCAGTTCTCACCAACAGTCCCACTATTGCAGAATATGCAGCCTCGTGTTACATAACCAAGCTCCATTTCATGCTGAATAAACGTAATTATTAATGTATCTTAAGTAGAAAACTAAGGAAACGCGGTGGGTCTGTGGCTAAAAGGCTCAGCTTGTCAATCAGAAAAGTCATCAGTTTGGCAGTTTGAATCCCTAGCGCCGCATAATGGAGTGAGTGCCAGTTACTTATCCCAGCTTCTGCCAACTTAGCAATTCCAAAGCACATAAAAATGCAAGTAGAAAAATAAAAACCATTTTGGTGGGAAGGAAACAGTGTTCTGTGTGCCTTCGATGTTTAGTCTTGCCAGCCACATGACCACAGAGACGTCTTCGGACAGCCCTGGCTCTTCGGCTTTGAAACGGAGATGAGCACCGCCCCCTAGAGTCAGGAACGACTAGCACATATGGACAAGGGGAACCTTGACCTTTACCTAAGAGTGGTAGGGGAAGAATAGATTTGTTGCAAGGACATAACGTTGGGTTTTTTTTTTTAAAAAAAAAGAAAGATTAAAAACTAAGATAAACTACTATGAAGTAAGCAAAAGGCATCAGAGAGAAAGCTAAAAGGGGGAAAGTTTAAAAAAAAAAAGAAGTTGCTGCCAATCTTTACAGTATTGAAAANACCTTCGGCGTTTAGTCATGCTGGCCACATGACTACGGAGACGTCTTTGGACAGTGCTGGCTCTTGGGCTTTGAAACGGAGATGAGCACCGCCCCCTAGAGTTGGGAACGACTAGCACATATGTGTGAGGGGAACCTTTACTTTTATCTTTATTCATGTGTTGATTTCTATGGCTAAAGTCACCTTTCTCACCTCACGTTTGGCCTCTCAAAATTACCAAGATTGACTGGCAAATTTTCTGGTTTTCATAGTATCATATTGGATTTCTTCTGAAAAAATCTATTGTCTTTTGGAGGGACAATAGATCAATTTTTATCTTTGAAAAACCTCCATTCCCTCAGTGCTTACAAACTAATCCAAAGTTGTACTATACAATTTGACTGGCTGTCTTCTTCAGTATCTAAATAAAACTTTAAACATGTTTCTGGTGGTAGCTGACATCCCAGCAGTTGGGTTGAGCTCTGCACCTCTCCACATTCATATAGCAGGTTGTTATCTGCTAAGAGCCTCCATTTAAGCATATTGATTTTACACCTAGGCACTCCACTCCTCAATGTATTTTCAGGGTCCTCCAAGTACTATAAGGGAGGTTGGATCCTTCAGCCATATCCCCTTTAATTTTATTCCTTGCTCAATGGACTCCCTCCTCCATCTTTTAAATCAGTTTTGTTCAAAATCCCTTTGTAAATCATTGCATCCTGGTGCACTATGCCAAAGCACAACAAGCTGCATTGCGACCTCAGGTGAATCTGACCGGTTATTCTGACATACTAATTGGTTGGTTATTGCTGACAACGTACGTAACTAGGAACCATTGTGTTGCATCACAATCAACTCAGAGTGCCCCTCCATTGCAATCAGCATTGTGGTATCCCATCTCAGTGACAAGATAGCTCTGGTGAGTATAACTGGCTGTTAAACTTCCTGGAATTTTGCACGCCAGTCGAGACCAAAGCTGAGCTGTGCTGCCTATCATGCCAATCCGATATTCATTGACTGGTGGTAAGGTGGCAGCAATGGCGCCAGTTCCTAAAGAGAAGAGCCAGGGTGTCCACAGTGGTTAGAATGCAATATTGCAAACTAACTCACTGCTCGCAGCCAGGAGTTCGATCCTGACTGACTCAAGGTTGACTCAGCCTTCCATCCTTCTGAGGTGGGTAAAATGAGGACCCAGATTGTTGGGGGCTAATATGCTGACATTTGTAAACTGCTTAGAGAGGACTGTAAAACACTATAAAGGTAACGATTCCCCTCATACATATGTGCTAGTCGTTCCCGACTCTAGGGGGCGGTCCTCATCTCTGTTTCAAAGCCAAAGAGCCAGCGCTGTCTCCGTGGTCATGTGGCCAGCA